TATGAAATACATCAAACAATTTTGTCTTATAACTATAACACAGTAATTGTGAAATATTCTAATAGGTCATTAGCTCCTTTTCCCCCTTTGGTATGTATACCCAATCAAATAAGCAGACAGAAGTCAAAGGGGTAACTCTGGAGACTCTCCATGTTAACTCTGATGCATTGAGTAACAAAGTATAAACTTAAAAAAAAAATTTATTATTATTTTTATTTTCTGTGTATGAGTGTATTGTTTGCATGTATGTAAGTGTACCTGTGTCGTGCAGTGCAGAAAGGGCATCAGATCCCCTGGAACTGGAGTTATGGACGGCTGTTAGCCGCCCTGTGAGTGCTGGGAATTGAACCTGGGTCCTCTACAAGAGAAGCCAGTGCCCTTAATCACTGAGTCATTTCTAAACTTCTTGCTAAGGACAGCTTTCAAGTGCTTAAACAGTCACTTCAGAGTGACTTACAACTTGGAGCTATTTTAAATAAAAAGGCAAAGGACTATAATTTTCTTGTAGCCCAGCTTATACAGCTACAACAAAGACAACTTCAAGCATATTCACCTTTTAAGAGTAACCTGATTTTCCTGATTTGGCATTAACTTTAACTACCAAGCCTGAGAAGGGATGAAAGTCACAGCTATTAATTTCCTATGTTTTCATGCCATCGTCTACTTTTTAATGAGTAAGTATAATTCAAACCACTGTTTACAAGCTGCTTTCCCAGGCATCATTCTATCTGACGTCATTTCTACCCTCAAGGACATTCATGCCTCACTTAAGAACATAAATATATACCTCTACTTCTGTTGTAGCTTAGGAAGATGGCTATAGTTTGATGTAGTTCAACTTACTTCCTCTATATAGATCTGATTTAAACAGTTCAAATCATATAGTGCATAAAAAATGTAATATAAAACCAAATATTGAATCATTACCATTAAAACAAATTCAGCAAGAATAGGTCATATATGTGTGTATATGTGTGTGTGTGTATATATGTGTGTGTGTGTATATATATATATGGTCTTTTTGAGACAGCATCTCCCAGTAGCCCCAGTTGGCTTGGAACTCAATAGTAGACCAGGCTGGCCTTGAACGCACAGAAATCCGCCTGTCTCTGCCTCCCAAGTGCTGGATTAAAGACGTGCACACCACACCCGACCTAAGGTCATTTGTTTTGAGTAACATATTTTAGTGTTAGGTGACTAGCATATACAACCTGTCCTCAAATATTTGTTATATTGTCACAGGACTCAAGGAGCTACAAGTTTGACTAAGGACTCTACCACAGTTAAGAAAGGAAACAGGAGGCTGGAGAGTTAGTTTAGTGGTTAAGAGCACTGGCTGCTCTTGCAGAGGACCAGGGTTTGATTCCCAGCACTGTAACTCCAGTTCCAGGGATCAGACATCCTTTTCTGTCTTCTGTGGGCATTGCATGACATGGGTGTACTTACATACATGCAGGCAATACACACATACACATAAAATAAAAATATAATAAATAAAATATTTAAAGAAAGAAGAAAGAAAAACATTAAGTAGATTCTCACACAGAATTTAGCAGTCAAAAATAAACAATTATGGAGACTGGAGAGATGGCCCAGCAGTTAAGAGCACTTATTGGTCTTGCAGAGGCCCCAGGTTGGGGTCTTAGTCTTGACATGGCCACTCACGACCATCTGTAACTCCAGTTTCAGGGAACCCAAAACCCCTTTCTGGCCTCTGCAGGAACCAGGCATATATGTGGTGCACACACATACATGCAGGCAAAATACTCACACACATTAAAAAAACAAAACAAAACATAAATCCTTTTAAAAAAGTAAATTGAACTAAAACACTAGTAGGAATGATTCTAAGTTGTAACTGATCAAATATGCTTACTCCTGTACTCGATCTAATGAAACCAAAAAACCAAATCCAAATATAGTAAAAACATCCAGATAATTTGCACAGCCAGACACTATGTAAAGGTAAAGTCTTCCTTTTAAATGACTGATGATATACTAGTTGTTATTGGTCTATCATTACTAAAAGTGAGTACAAGTAATAATGAAAAAAGAAAAAGAAAAAAAAACCTGGAACTATTGCTGCACAACAGCAAATCAGATTTCCTACTGATTAAAAAAGAACATGGCCTGGAGAGATGGTTCAGTGATTAAGAACACTGGCTGTTCTTGCAGAAGATCAAGTTTCGAATACCAGCACCCACATGGCAGTTAATAACTGTTTATAGCTCCAGTTCCAGGGGATCTGACAGCCTCTTCTGTCCTCTGTGGGCACTGTACGACATGAGTGCACTTACCTACATGCAGGCAACACATGCACACACATATAAGTAATAGAATATTTTAAAATATTTTCTAAAAAAGAATAACATGCTGGGCGTGGTGGTACACACCTTTAATCCCAGCATTCCCAGGCAGAGGCAGGCGGATCTTTGCGAGTTCAAGGCCAGCCTCGTCTACATAGTGAGTTCCAGGACAGCTGGGGCTACAGGGAGACCCTGTCTCAAAAAGACCGAAAAAAAAAAAAAGGAAGAAGAACACAACATAACAAAAGATAACCCATAGTATTTAGTAATCCATCTCTCAAGGTTGATAAAGATTAAAATTCTAATAATAAACTTTGACTTTAAACATTTTTTATTTACTTTTTCTTATCTGTATGTGTATGTTCCTGCTTGTCTGTATGTGCACCATGTGTGTGCAGTGCCTGCAGAGGCCAGAGGGCACTGGATTCCCTGAAGCTGGAGTTACAGGCAGTTGTGAGTTGCCATATGGGTGCTGGGATTCAAAGTCAGGTCTTCTGCTAGAGCAGCAAATACTCTTAAATTTGACTTTTAAAATAGCTTCATAGGGGCTGACAAGATAGCTCTACAAGTAAAGACACTTGTCACCAAGAGTGACAACCTGAGAATGAACTCTGAAACCCACATGTGGAAAGAGAAACTAACTCCTGCAAGTTGTCCTCTGACTTCTGTACATGTGTGGTGGCATTGAGACACACACACACACACACAAAATAAATAGTTTCATAGAATTTTCCAATAGTTTTTGTGCCACGGAAATAATAATGTTGAGAGCTATAAAACTGGACAGGAGCCAACAAGATGGCTCGATGGTTTACCAAAGCCTACTGGCCTGAGTTTCATCTCTAGAACCCACATAGTAGGTTGTCTGTCCTCTGACTGCCACATATGTACACACAAACATACATATTTACTGGACAGCAGAAAACCATAAATCACTGTCTATATATAGTGACCTGTTTCACTTGGATATCTTACTAGGGAAACTAATTAAAAGAGGGCCTCTTGCAGGGCATGGTGGTGCACGCCATTAATTCCAGCACTTGGGAGGCACAGGCAGGCGGAGCTCTGTGAGTTCAAGGCCAGCCTGGTCTACATAGTGAGTTCTAGGAAAGCTGGAGCTACAGGGAGACCCTGTCTCAAAAAGACCAAAAAAAAAAAAAAAAAAAAAAGAGAGAGCCTTTTCAGCCAACTAAGGGCAGTCGATCTGAAACATGACAAGTGATTCCCCTCAAAACAATTTAATTAACATGTTTCCCATATTTAGATTCTTCTTCCTGGGCCTTTGCTTGAGATCGTATGAATAAACAAAACAAACCCCTCTGAATTGAAGAAATTTATTTCAACTGTAACAGTATAGGGAAATATTTCCATTAATAACTCTTTCATGTTTTAAATTTCACTTACATTCATCATAGAATCCATAAATGCGATTGATGCTAGCACACTCATGGTTTCCTCTTAAGAGAAAGAAGTTCTCCGGATATTTGATTTTATAAGCCAATAGCAAACAGATGGTTTCCAAAGATTGCTTTCCTCTGTCCACATAATCTCCTAAGAAAAGATAGTTGGCTTCTGGTGGAAATCCTCCATATTCAAATAATCTCAGTAAATCTGTATACTGTCCATGAATATCTCCTAAAAGCAGAAGAAGTCAGTTTAGAAAAACTGGTTATTGTTTTATGCCGCTTCTATGATATAGTTCATAACTTGCATAATCTCTCCCCTTAAGTATAGGTCATACTTAGTAACTTATTTGTAACAAAAATACTACAGAAGTGAGCTCAGCAGTCCCTTCTAACACTAGGCTATAAAATATTGCAACTTGTCTTGCTTGCAACCCCACACCTTCTTTCATGTTTGCGATGAAGCTACCAGTTTTATGAAAGGTCCACACAGTAAAGAACTGAAGGATTCGTCTAGCCAGCAGTTCATTCGGAATGAAGGCCCCCAGTCCTTCACCTTATAAATAACTGAATCCTTTCACAGTTCAGCTTTCAGATTGAGACCTTATGAGAGACTGAGAATCTAGCAAAGCTGTGTCTGAATTCCTAACCTATATAAACTATGAGGTGATAAATTAAGATTGTTGTAAGCCACAAACATTTAGGGTAATTTCTTTTTCAAGAAAAGGATCTCACTATGTATCCCTGGCTAGCATGGAACTCACAAAGATCCACCTGCCTCTGCCTCGCAAGTAATGGTATTAGAGGCATGTACCACCATGCCCAGCTGGAATATTCTTTTCTAAATCAATAGATAACTAGTACAGTTACTCTTACCTGGTAGTTGAACTCTGGCTATACTTTGTTATACCAAAAACAAGAAATATAACACACACACACACACACACACACACACACACACACACACACTTCTATTTCCTTCAGTGAGTGCTGTATTAAGTAAGTAACATTTGGTATCCTTTAAGGACTACAGTCACTGACATGAACAAGGTTCAAACTTTACCCATTTGTCTATCTATTGTTTTGGGTTTTTTTTTAATTTTTGTTGTTGTTTTTTCAGACAGGGTCTCATTATGTAGCTCTGGCCTAGAACTCCCTATGTAGATCAGGCTGGCCTCAAACTCGGAGATCTGCTGGCCTCTGCCTCCCTAGTGCTAGAATTAAAGGCATGTGCCACTATACCCATTAGGTTCTAACTTTATGATGGTACAAAAGCAATTTGCAGTCAAATAAACTGTAGTTTGAGTTTTGAGCTTTTTGAAGCTAGTGAATGTGATACTTTTGTATGATGCTGGGCAGCAGCAGCAAGTTATGACTCCCCATCAGCCACACTGATTATGACTGATACTTTATAGTGCAATGTATCAAGCTATGATGCTTAGTAGGTTAGTGTATTAAAGGCATTTTAGGCTTTTGATGCTTTCAACTTAGGTTTATTGGGGTATAATCTCATCATCAACTGAGGAACACCTGTACTTCAAATCATTTTCAGATCGTCTATAAATAATTTATAATACTAAAAGGGACTGAACATTTCCAGAATGTCCCAAACTACTGATACTCTAAACTACTTAATCTATTCAATCGTTAACTTTGCTACTACTTATCTGCTGAATACTATACTAAGGAGCCCCAAAGACATGATTTAATAAACCCCACAAAGATAATAAAGTACACTAAACAACATCAAGTTACATGTAGTCAATGTAGATCACTTAGCAGGTCACAAACAGAATGGAGAAAAATTCTGCATATGGCAAACTACTGTTTGAGTAAAAGCTGACCTAAGTCCATAAAAGTGATACCATAAACACTAATAATCAGTACACAGAATACCTGCACTACCCAACCAAAACCATTATGACATAGTCTTTACATCACTTCCTATTCTATGTGAACTACAGAAAAATGTTACTTTCTATGTACAATTTTTCTGGTTATAACTAGATCATTCAATTTAAAGTCTTATGTTTTTGCTTTGGGCTAAAACTAATATAAGATAAAACAAATATAAAGTAATACCTTCAAAATAAGTTTAAGTAACTACAAGTTAGAAAACCATGGATCCATGGATACTGCCATATTGACAATCAAAATTTCTGTTTCTTAAAAGTAGTGAGCTAGAATGTCCATTCCTCCACATTCTTAAAAATACTAAATATCAATCTTTGACATTTTTAGTAATCTGATTAGTCAGGGACTTGTTTTAAATAGCATTTCACTGATTATTAGTGGGGCTGAGTGCCTTATGCTTACCAGCCAACCTTTTATTTTTGTCTTTTTGAGATAGGGTCCTCATAGCTCCAGCTGTCCTGGAACTCACTATGTAGACCAGACTGGCTTCAAACTCACAAAGATCCGCCTGCCTCTGCCTCCCAAGTGCTGGGATTAAAAGCGTGCGGCATCATGCCCAGCGGCACCCAACCATCTTTTAAGAGCTGCCCACTTTTTGTTCTTATTAACATATTATCTTATTTCTAGGAGTACTTTATATATTACAGAGAGCAAGCTTTTGATTTGTCATAATATAGCAAATATTTTCCTGTTATCTCTAACGTCATTATTTTGAGTTTTAACCCTTATGCAACTTTAATAAAATCTATCAATCTTTTTCATTCAAAATCTTAGCTTACCCTAAATCACTCTCATATAAGTATGGGAGAAAAAAATGTGATTTAGGAGATTTATTTCTAACTTTACGCATTTACATACCACAAATTTTCAATGGTGCTTCCAATTCCAAAAGAATAGGCTGGCTGAGAAAGATCTCACGAGACTTGATACACAATCCTCGAACTTCTGCCTCAGTCATCTGCACAATCTTTCCTGGACGACATCCTCGTACTGTTTAAAAAGAATGAGCAAACTAGTCAGCTTTCCAAAATTTATCCATAAAGTAATAATCCTTTTAGAGTCACATTCATATTTTGAAAACCAGACAAATCATGCATGTGCTGGATTGTATAGCTAACAGTTTATTTCATGAATGGTGGCATCTATTTCCAATGTTGCTGGTTCCTGAGGCTGCTCCTCAAATCTGCTGGCAAGTAAATGCGGTCCTCCAGAGGCCAGCTTAAAGTCTATCAGTCCAAGATATTTCAGGGATAGCACCGTTGAGAATGACCTACTCTCATCAAAACAAGTCTTGCATCTAGTAGGAAGCCAGAATAGCATCACTAAGAACCAATGGCCATAAAGAAAGGGAGATCAAAAAGTAGCTGTCACAAAATGATTTAGCTTTATACAGTTCCTCAAAGTACTATCAACAGTCCCAAGATTTACCAACCAGCACTTCCATCTGCTGATTAAAGAAAGAAACAAAACATGCCAGATTATATACTCCTGCTACTTCCCATTTATAATTAAACACACACATTTCTTCCTAAAAACTTCGATTCCTTTGTCAGGGCAAGATAGGCTTAACAAGTCAAGTCCTCATATATTTAAACTGTACATGCCATTATTATATTAACATAAAGTACTAAGGAGGAGATAAGAGGATACAACATATAAATGTACTTTAGCAAATACACCAGTTAGTAAGACTACCAGGAACTGGGGACATGATCTAGTTGGTAAATGAAGTGCTTGTCTCACATGCTAAACCTTCACAAGCATGAGGATCTGACTTCAATCCCTAGAACCCACATAAAGAAGCCAAGTATAGTGTACTTGCTTGTAATCCCAGCACAGGGGAGGAGAGGCAGATCCCTGGATTCTCTGGTCTGTCAGTCTAAACTACTTGGTAAGTTCAGGTCAGTGAGAGGCTCCATCTCCAAGAAAAATGTGGATTGTATTCAAGGATGACACCTGAGGCTATCCTCTAGCTTCCACATATGTATGCACATGTGTGTTCTTGATATGTGGTCCAGGTAGTACCTGCCTCCTCCTGAGTGCTGGGATTACAGGTATAGCCACCAGGATGAATTACTTATTTGGGTTTTTCTAAGACCACAAAGGACACCGCTAGCTTTGTACCTTTTGTTATGTATCTGGAAATCTAGCTTTGATACAGGAACAAATCTTAATTTTGGCATTACTTTTGGTTGTTTAAGCAGAATCTCATGTAGTTCAGGCAGGCTCTGAATCATTAAGCAGCTAAAGATAGCCCTGAACTCTTGTTCTTCCTCCTAACAGCTGGAATTACAGGCATCTACAACCATTATCTGGTTTCAACGTTCATCTCCCTATAGACCCAGCTGGTCTGGAACTCGCTATGTAGACAGGGCTGGCCTCGAACTCAGAGATCCGCCTGCCTCTGCCTCCCAAGTGCTGTGATAAAAGGTGTGAGCCATCATGCTCAGCTTGGCATTGGTTTTAAATGGGGAAATTTTTAGTTAAAGGAGGAAAAATGTATTCACAGTGAAGGATCAAAGATCTCTGGTTGAATAAATACACAGCTAAAAGTGATTGTTCAGAAGTCACTAACTCATTCAGCAAATACTTGAAATTGTGTATGAGTTGTTAAGAGATAACAGCAATGGAGACAACAAAAAACATCTTTTTGGTTATATAAAAAATGTTCAAAGCTGGCACTGTGACATTTGGCTAAAATCCTAGATATTTGGGAAGTTGAGGTAAGAGGATCCTAAATTTAAAATTAGCTTGGTCACAGAATGGGACCCCCCATAAGAACAAAAGTACATTTCATAACTAGTATCTTAAAAGTTGATGAAATGCTGTTAGAAAGGCTAAAGGTTCTTCCAAAGGTGTTAAAACTTTGGTAAGTGAGCAAATCTTAGAAATGATTGGCCAAATGTTAGGAAAGGGAGTTGTTCCTGTTACATGGAACAACTAGATCCCCATCTTCACAAGAGATTTTAGTATTTCCATGGAGGCCCTAACCTTAACTGCCTCCTTGCACTATGAAAATACAGGTAAGTCTACATGCCCCAGTAGGGGCAAAACACTACACATTTTACTCTTGTTATTTCAGAAATTGAAAGGAAAAGTATCTTTATAATATAACAGTTGAGATTAAATAACTTGCACAACATCACAACACTCAGGCTTTACAGAACTGCAGGAAATAAAGAGCAACAGAACAGTTCAGAACCAACATCCTCTAACAACCAATACTCTTTCCACTTTGCCATATAAAATTTCCTGGCAAAAATCTTTCATCCAATTTGAGCTAAGACCCAGTAGGGCTTGGTGGTACAGGTCTTTCATCCCAGCACTTAGGAGGCAGAGGCAGGTGGATCTCTGTGAGTTCAAGGCCAGCCTGGTCTATATAGTGAGTTCCAGGCCAGCTGGGGCTACAGGGAGACCCTGTCTCAAAAAGACCCAAAAATAATAAACAAACTAGGTAAGACCCTAAGAAAGCAAACATCTACCACATTATTGCTAAGCAAAAAATATTTTGAGATAGTACATACAAGCAGTATACTATCCTTACATGTATAACTCAATGTTCAACTATTACGCACCTGAGTAACAACCTCTCAGATCAAGGTAGGATACTTCACAACCTAAGTTCCTTTATGCCCTAGCTAATAATACTAATGCCCAATATCACAATTCTTATTTTTTCACTATAATCTAATTTTTTGAATTTTAGAAAAACAGAAATAGACTCTTTTGCTCAAAATCCTATCTGTGAGATCTACTCATGTGATTTTGTTTAATAGTAATCTAAAGTATCCCACCGAATGACTAAATAATATAGTTCCACTTTGGTGCTACTATGATGTTGAATATTCATTCATGCACATTTCTCTTGTCTGTAACATGGAATAAAAAGGTCACAGAACAGGCTTAGTTTTATTTAGGACACCAGCTTACAGTTGTACAAAGTGATTATGTGAATTTACAATAAAACCAATACTGCTGCTCTGTTATCTTTGCAGACAATGGCTATTATCAGTATTTTAATTTTTTAAATGGTTTTGCTGGATATAGAGTAATAGTCACTGAAATTTTAATGTGTTTTTCTCTGATGACTAAGGTTGTTGAATGCCTTTTGATATAATTAATGGGCTATTTGGATATTCTTTGGGGGGAGCAAATTAAGTTTTGCTTATTCTTTAAAACTTGAACGACCTTTTCCCATTTCTTTTGCTATTTCAATGAAAAGCCCTTTAATGGATCTAAATTTTCATTATTATTATTACGGATGGTTGTTAGCCACCATGTAGGTGCTGGGAACTGAACCAGGGTCCTCTGGAAGAACAGTGCTCTTAACCACTAAACCATCTCTCCAGCCCCCAATGGATCTAAATTTTAAGACAATTAAGTTTAATCTTTTCTTTAACTGGGTAGTGCTTTTTGCATCTTAATAAATCACTGTCTTTTCTAAGGATATTTTCTTATGTTTCTTTTCTTGGTGTTACAGTTCATTTCACTGAAAATTCATCTTAAATTAGCTCAGCATTTTGTCTGAGGTAAAAGTCAAAGTTCGTTTTCATCCCTGCACAAAGCCAGTTATCGATTGTAAGCTGATCCTTATCACCACTAAACAGCAATGGCAGTTTTGTAGAAAAGCCAAGTGACGATAAGCAATGTGTTTCTAGATACCACACTCTTACTACAGTTGATCCATTTTTACGTTATCTTGCTATCTTAATCACTTTTGTAGTTTCAATGCATGGAAATAGAAACACTTTAACTCTGATCTTTAAAACTGAGTGGGATGGTGGTGCATAACTTTAATCCCAGCCCTCAGGAAGCTGAGGCAGGTCACTCTCTGAGACTGAGGCCAGCTAGGGCTACAGAGAGATCTTGTCTTAAAATACACCAAAACAAACAGAACCACATACACACAAAACAATCCAAAAACAAAAATCCAAAAATTTTATAACTGGTTTGTGTCTAACCTCCCCAACCCCAAGCTTGTGGGGATTTTCATGGGAAATGAGCAGATGAGTCTAGGGAGAACTGCCATCTTAACAAGTTTTATCTTCCAATCCATGAACACTTCTTCTCTCTTCTTTTTTAGCCCGAGCTGGCCTGAACTTGCTATGTAGACCAGGCTGGCCTTGAACTCAGAGATCTACCTGCCTCTGCCTCCTTAGCGCTGGGATTAAGGACGTGCGCCACCATGCCTGACTCTCCTGTCTTTTTTTAAAAAAAAAATTTGTTGGAAGCTGGAGAGATGGCTCAGTGGTTAAGGGTACTGACTGCTTTTGCAGAGGACCTGGGCTTGATTCCCAGCAACCTAACGGCAGCTAACAACTGTCCTAACTTCAGTTCCAGGGACTTCAATGCTCTCTCCTGACTCCTCAGGCATTGCAAGACATGGATGCACTCACATACATTCAGGCAACACATTCACACACACTAAATACTAAAACAAAATTTTTTGCAGGGGAGGGGAAATGTGGCATGGTGTCTGTCATAGTAGGGCTTATATGGAAAACAACAGTGATGTAGTAGCATATTATCAGAATAGATTTTTTTTTTTTGTCTTTTTGATAGGGTCTCCCCATAGCCCCAGCTGGCCTCAAACTCAGAGATCCACCTGCCTCTGCCTCCCCCAATGCTGGGATTAAAGGTGTGCGCCACCACGCCTGGCTCAGAATAGAATTTTAAAATGGGAGTGTTTTTTTATGTGAATGAGTGTATTCCCTTGCATGTGTAAGTGCACCTGTGTTGAGCAATGCCAGCGGGAGGTCAGAAGGCATCGCTGGTTCTCCTGGAACTGGAGTTACAGGTGGTTGTTAGCTGCCACGTGAGTGTTGGGAATTGAACCGGGGTCCTCTGCAAGACTGGCTTACTATTAACCCCTGAGACATCTTTCCAGTCCCAGGAGTATAATTTTTTAAAAAATATTTTATTTTATTTTTTTATGTGTATGAGTGTACTGCCTGTATGTATGTGAGTGCACTTGTGTTGTGCAATGCCCC